CGTTTTCTGACAATACATGTACGATCTAAAGCCGGGTCAGAACCGGTATTGTACCCGAATGCGTCTCCATTGTAACTGCCGATAAATTCTTTCAATTTTTAATGGCTAAAACCGTGGCCGTCGGAAGAACGATACTACCAGTACTGCAACAGTGTTACAGTATTAGCATAAGGTCATCAACCGTCCATATCGGGATGCGAAACGGGAGTAGACCTCCGTCTGGCATTGAAATTGTCTTAAATTGTTACACAGTTCAGTCTTTACCAACAATTTTATTCGGTAGTTGAAGCATGCAATGCGTGCTAACTTGGTATTTGTTTTAACATGGAGTTGGTTTCATCACGGAGGTACCTCCGTGGTTTCATTCACGCGGGGTTATGGGTCATGTGGGTGTTGGCGAGCTTAAACGGGGTTCGCAACGAAAGAAGGTATACTTATAAGCCCCAAATCAAAGAAATATTCCAAAATTGCCATGGCAAGAGAAGGCTGGGCATTGATACGTTATTTTGGTCTGAAATTATTAAACTATGCCAGTGGGCTCAACGTATTCCACAAACTGGGGGGTCAAGTCAGAAACAGAACAGTTGTGCTCACAGCGCATGTGCATACCGTGACCATGAAGTGCGGAATTAAGTTACCGTATTAATTATTACCACACAGAATGGCTGTTCTCTGCACAGATACGTACACGATCATTGACAGAGCAAGGAAAATAATAATTGTATCATGGACAATCACTTCGTCTACAATGATAATCCGAGCCTACTGTTTCAGATGAACAACGCAAACTGAAGAAACAGTAGTTTGACCCTTGACGTCAGTATAGACATGTGCATGTAAAAAAAGCAATAACTGAAAAAAAAATCAATAACAATGTCCTTACTACAAGAAGAACTGGAGTACATCAAGATACATCGGTCATGCATTTGATGGCATGGCTATATGTTGACAGCCATGTTGGAACTAAACTCTTCTGCAGCCGACTTCCAAGGAAATCTTATGACACTTGTCTAGGATTAGCAAATATTTGCTTTCTGATACACTGACAATAACGGACGGGCATGGTTTTGATTATGCCATGTGCATAGGCCTACCCGTCTGAGTTTTATCTAATAATCTGACCCTGCGTGATCGTGATTCGAATATGGCATCTACACGGGATAGATAAACCAGATATGAAATATAACATAGAGCTTCATGAATGTACATGTAAGTATGCATGGCAGAGTGGTGTTATTTTGTGTGGGTGTTTAATCTTGATCCTCTTACCTGGGTTAGGCCTGTCTCCCGCTGCTGAATCCCCGTCTCCACCACCCTCAACTTTCCTGTAATTCTGCCGGTCCGGTTTAGGCATGTCGCCCGTTCACAACACTCATCTGCCAGCGACAAAAGCTCCGAGTTGAGCCCTGTTTGTATACGGTGTGTTGATGTGATCAGACACCGAGTACTCAGTAAACAAGCTTTTTAACTTTAGCCTCTCGCAGTCAGTGCAGAGTGGAGGCTGTAGCTGTAGAAATAGCCTTCAATTCTCGCACACAATAATAATCCGATAATAATCAGAAAGCCCTTGAAACAGGTCCAGTGTCCTGCTTGCGAATCGCATTCATGTGGTTGCTAGTCGGATGCGTGCACTGGAGTGTAACACTGGGGTTGTAACTGTCTCAACGAGTTGGACAAGCCTATAAAATGAATGAACCAAGCGACTTCATTTAACGTGTCAAACACCATCAGCTTTTTTTTTGCATGGAGGCGGGAACGCACGTAGCTTACAAGAATGTACATGGTACATCAAACTGCAATTATAGCAGAATACCCGCCACTTGAATACATAGTACTGTTATGGCGCAGGCCTACCGGCTACCAATGTTCAACAATTAATGATTGGTTCATTCACCTAAAATCATCCATGGGCGTGGCCTGCAACTGAATTAAGCTGAAGCATATTAGGCATAACACGTGGTACAAGACTACACTGGTAACGCACATGCCAATTGGCATATCTTGGCGTGATTCGTACGTATAGGGTGTGACCCGAGAAAAAAAATCAGTCGGTCTGGAATGAAAGATTGCAGTGTGCATTATAGTATCGACAAAAGGGTAAAAGAAACGCGGGAGTGATCATCTCATTAGACAGAACGGTTTCACTTTCCTTAAAGATGAATTGTCGAGTTAGCTATCTTTCAAAATGCATCCATGTCGGTAATTCCATGGAGCATTCTATTTCCCCTCAGCCTCGCTTCGGGAAAATAGAATGCTCTATGGATCACCTCGCGATGAGGCTAGTTTTATAAACGCCACTTGAAGCGATCATTTGCATAATACTGAAGTTGGACCTGATAGGCCAGGGAATTATAAATATGTCACTGTGGTGACGCTTCAGGGGAGGGGCTAGAATATTGAGCACGTGGTCAGATGGACTATTTTGACATATGGCATACGGGTAGGGGAGTGGTCAAATGCAACAGGCTAGAGACGATGATGAAACTAAGCAAAACTGGGATGGCAGTTGGAATACAAACACAAAATCGAAGGGTGAAAAACAAATAGATTATAATGCAATATGATATTGAAAACATGTTAAACGCATTGCCTGCTGCGTTACAACAAAAAATTCACAAAATGTTCCCCTAACAACTATATTACTATTGTCTTCATAGCCCAATTCTGAGATTTAAGCTAAACAGAACGAAGAATTCTATTGTTACTACACATCCAGAATCTCGAGTCCGTTTTCTCCACCTTAACCTAAAGAGGGATATTTAACAGGATTTCCTCACAGGTCTGAAAAAGTATTTCCCCCACAAAATTTCAGCGACGTTTTTGGTAAAGAACTGTAATTCTTCAATTCAGTTGACCACAAATTAATTTCACAGTATTCAGCAGTTAAGATAGGTGGCGCCGATTTCATAGCAACTTGATAAGTAAAAGGTGGGCGGGAGTCTTATCCTACCCAAGCAAAACCAAAAGAGGGCGTGTTTGGGAATCAAATTGACCATACTCTGGTACGCATTCACTACATTGCGCGCAAGTTCGTGTACGTTTGACGCCGGGTGCGCTGGTGCATATCAGAAGAACGATATCTGTTGGAGCAACGAATTTATTCTGAAATGTATGATCTCCCTGTGCACTCCGAAAGAGTGCAAGAACCCAGTTGGAAAAACTTCATACCACTGTCGTTCTTTCGCCGATGAGGGTGCACTTCAACTTAGGGCGGACACCCGGTTGAGGTTCCAGCACTCGAAACGTTGGGTAAACTGAGATACTGAAGAAAACAAAATTGGATCCTAAAAGAAATGCAAGGCTATGTAATCCTTTGCAGATTGATTTGCATGCTGTTTTTGTTGCACACCAATGACTGTATAGGAAGACAAAAACCAAAACAAATGCCAAAAACAAAAACAAAACAAAAGCAAAATTATGAAACTACAATGACGATGAGTTTTGATTCATATTTGTATTCTATAATACATCCTAGCATTTAACACACACAAGGCACAAATGGCGCTTGGAAATATAAATATTGAAGACGCTTTTCTCAAGTTAAATAGACAAGCTTGGTATCTGATCTCTCTATACACCGTGCATATTCCAATTCTACTCAGTCATGCTCGAACCAAAGTCAAACCTATCATGTGCCGCATTGGCATAATGCATGCTCAATTTCCATCTATTCTCAACTGAATTCAAAGTACTTGAAAGCGAGGCAATTTTAAAAATACATAATTTTCCATTATTCTAAAAAAAAAACAAAAAAAAACAAAAAACCAGGAGATCTTTGAGGGAATAAAGGAAAAAAAATAGCTCTCCCTTAAAATGGTAATGCTCCAAGATAGTTGCACTTCAAAACAATTTACATTAACTTAAAAGAGGCATGTGTTTCCCAGTTTCATTACAGTCTGTCTTCTAAATCAAATTCTTGAACAAATTCCACAAATAATTACAATGTATTAGTCAACCAGTGTTTGACATATCTTTATGTTTAAACACACCCTCAACCTGTTCTACACAGAGATTAAAAGTTTCCTGACATTGGGCAGTTTATCACAGTTTACACAATCGCTGGTTACTGCCTTTGCAACCGACCTCGTGCTTTTCATGCAAATGCAACAAGATTTTTTTAAAGGTACTGCCGTCCTTTTGTGCCAGCTTGACCCTGACTACTCACACTCATGTGACTGCAAACTCATGTAGAACATTTCAGGATGTTTGCAATTCTGATGGTTACATCACCGATGGCTCATCTGCCTAACAAACTGTTGGTTTAAAAAAGCTACCGCCCCGACAGCCAACAAAAAATTACCTTGACAAATACTTCTGACTGGCATTTGATTTCACATTTGATTTATGGCATCCGGCGATTCACCATTTCCCCCACAGAGAAAACAATAGAGAAATGTTAATACTTGTAAAGCCGTTTTGCATAATAATTACAAAAATAGATACACTGCTATTAATTAAGACACACTCCATTAATAACCTAGAACATTCAGGACGGATTTCCAGAATAATATATCATAGATTTTCTTCAATCTGAATGAATATATACAGGCTTTATTTTTTGTTTTGTTTGGTTTCATTGATAAGGAAAGATTAGAAATGGGAATGTTCATGCAAATGACTTTTGATGTGTACTCACAGCCCTCCCTGTTCGGCCATCTTTGTCACACACCAAGACTGCGTAAACAGTAATCAATGTCGGTTTGGAAATTATGCCATGGGTGCCACACCAAATCCCATCTACTACATGGGCAAGAGACCCAAAGGTTAAATCTGTCAAATCACACCTTGCCTATGTTTTCTTACCAATTTTTCTGGTAAACTGTACTAATCACCCTCTGAAGAATCCTTTTTTAGTAACTTCTAAAAGTTTCCATCAATTTCTACAGATCATATGACACTACTGCTTGCAGTACAACACTGACTCAGGAACATTTTGTCATAAATGAATGGTTACTTGAGCGGATGGCACCTTCTACAGTTTAAACAAGTGTGTGTATTAATTTTTGATGCTGATTTGAAGACTTGGCTTGATATGCTGTCAAGGGACACAGGAAGCACCACATGTGTAAATCTTGGCTCTGTCGGCACTGGATTCAAGACCATAGAAGTAATGTAAGGGAAGTGATTTAAGAGGGATGTGGACTGAATTATAAAGCCTTCACACATGCAGTAAATGAGCTGGCATAAAATACTTCTACCATGAAATCCAAGCGCTGATCAGTACAGACCTTGAGATATAAATACGCAGTATAAGTTTTTGTTTTGCTATGACACTTACAAGCAAACGTTGATTACAGTATAAATAAGTCCCACAATGCCTTACAATCCACAAGCTTGATTTGGGGTGGTTTGTCTTAAATATAAAAGAACACTGATCCCTGAACTGAAAGGGACCGACTTCAGTTTGTTGATTTTTTTTTTCCAAGATTATCTCAGCTGCCCACAGGAGGCTTACGCTTCGATTTTGCTGTGATGGCGGCTGCTTTTGGCGATCGGGGCTTTGCAGCGGCCGCTCGGTTGGCGGTGACCTCACTGGGTCTGTGCGGAGATGCTCTGGACTGAGATGGGGGCTGTCCGGCCGTTCGAGACCGCGGGGGTGTGGCTTTGGAGGCTGGGCCTGAAGGCGTGGTGGAGGCGGTGCCTCTGGTCCTGTGGGCCCCGTTGTTCGACTGAAGGGGAAGGCGAAATTCAATTGATGAAAATGACATTTCAAAAAATACCCAGTCCACTGCACAAATCAGAAGAAACTCCTGAGTTTTTCCCCCTACTGAAAATCTTAAACAATAATGCCCTTCGAAGTCTGGGTAAAATTGTCACCCCACAGCCCTTTTGATACAGTGTGATGAAGTCTGCAATAGAACCATGTGAAATCTTTTTTAGACATGAGTGGGGCTCTAAAGGAAAAAACTGCCCCCCCCCCCAAAAAAAAGGGTACTCAACCAATCACACTCACTCCAGTAAGAGACTTCACATGGTGCTACTGCGCACTTCGTCACATATTGCTATGTCCAACATTCAAACTTTCAAATTACATGGACAACTTTCCTTCAGGTCCTGCTGTATTTCACAATATTTCAATCCTACTTCCAATTACACCGGCATTCAAAGTCTAACGTCAAGAGCAAAATAAATGACATGATAAAATATTAACAAGGGGATTCTCAAAAGAAAATTAAAAAGCTGTCCCTGATAAGCGACAACATGCTCACGACTGGTATAAAAATAAGGCTTTATGTGTGCCCTAAAATGACAGGAGACAATAAGCTACTTCCCCAAGATCTCCTGAAATAGAGGAACTCTTCAAGTTCCTTAAGCAATGAAAGACGCCCATTTCAAGTGGAGTTTCATACAAGTACTATTTTTAATCCAAGTAAGTTTTGTTTCCCTCCGTGTTTCAATTTACAAGGGCTAATTTTAAAGGTATAATTAAACCACTCAAAAATTCTATACACTTCCAAGCAATATGGAGCATCGACTTTACTCACAGAGTTTCTTGAAGTGTTTGACTTGGACGCAGTCGGTGCTTTCCTTGAAGACAGGGTGCTTTTATCACCGGCTGACTTTGAACATGAAGTGTCGTCCGATGGCTTTTCACTCTGTACAAATGACAACGTGAATCTATCTCTGTAATGCTATAAAACACAGCTCTTGATTTAAAACGATAAAACAGCTTCAAGCAGTAAAACTGCATTTGAAGTTGGACAGCCTTTCTTATGATTCTACTGTTTTCGAGAGGTAAAGGCAAGAGGCATCATTCTTGAACTGTGAACACTCTTTCAAGTTAGATTTCTGACCGTGACTCCCTTGAATGTTCCTCTTCATTCAAACACTGATAACCCTACTCCAAAATTCCTTAAAAGCCACTTTTCGGAAAGTGGAAATACATTCTGTGCATGTGGCAAACACACACTGTATTAAATCCACTTGCAATTTCTACGCTCCTTTGGTTTCGAAGTCGGCACTAGGTATGTAAGATCGACCCACCTCCTCTTTGGGGTGTGCTTCTCCTCCCATCCTGCCCTCCTCCGTCTCCCCCTCCCCCTCCCCCGTGAGGTTGGCATTGGAGTCCACCTGGCCATTCTCCTCCAGCATCAGCTCGTCCTTCCACTGCTTCATCATCTCCAGCACGTTCTTGGGGCCGTCGTTGTCCGAGCCCTTCTCCCCGGTGATCCAGGGATGGTGGAGCAGCTCGCTGGCAGTTAGCCGGTGGGCGGGGTCAACCGTCAGCAAGCCCTGGATGGCGTTCTTGGCTGTGGGCGATCACCAAGCGAGCACAGTTTAGATGAGGCTTGAATGGTGAATGGAAGGCTTGTACAATGCTCAAAGTTAACAACAGCGGGTATGGAATTGTAGTGTAGCCCATCTTCAGTCAAATCCCAAGTCCGGTCACAAGTAACAGTCGCGGTGCTTTTGTAGTGCATTTCATCTGAATAGCTTGAAACTTGGCTCAAACAAAATGACTTTTGAAGGACTTGAAACGCACAAAGCCCACACAAGACAAAGAGCTACCCCTGTCTTTGCAACTGCTCATGTCTACCCAGTACCTATGGATCTCTTGGAAAGCTGGGAAGCATGGGTTGAAAGAACCATTACTTTCAATGTGTGGTCAACAGTTACTTAACAAATAAGGAAGTTTTCAGGAACTGTGCTGAGCATTGAACATTTAGGACGGATGAACAAGAATGGAGAACAGGTAAGGTTGAGACTCATTCTTTACCATGGAATCAGGAAGCCAAAGGGAATCAAGTGAGTGAGAAAAACAAGTCCAGAGGACTGAAAGATGACAACCAGTGTACTGATCAGTTACGTTTTGTAGAAAGGATCTCCATACTGCATGTGATCTCATGTCTTTCTCCAATATGGTGACACCACTGCTTTGAACAAAACTAACCTTCATCGCTGACTTTTCTCCAGACAGCACCTGAGAAGTCTAGTTCCCCTCTTCTGATCTCCTCGTATAAGCCGTCTTCATCTCGCCCAGTGAAAGGCGGGTACCCAGATAATCTGCAGGAGTTACAAAACAAAGTAAGAATACCATGAATGCCAAGACTTTGTTATCTGTAAATTTGTTACAATGCAATGTAGGGACAGACAGCACATACAAAATTGGGAACACATTCTACAGCCGATGAAGATGGTTTTGTAGCAAAGTTGCCGCACACAATACGACCACAGGGGAAGGTCGATAAGCTAAATGACTAGTTTTTTAACTTTTTGTAATGAGTACCACTTTGTCAATGCACAAAGGAAACAAGATCACGTAGTGAATGTTATTGAATAGACCTATAATATAGTGACATCTGGCTTTGTTTACATGTGCGCATTCCTATGGTAGTGATGTAAGATTGGGTGCAATCCATCCAGTTCTTGCATTGCCTGGCAGGCTAGTAAAAAAGCTTTGTATCAAACTATGACTCATGATATCGTTCTAAGAAAGTACAAATCAGCAACCCTATTGTAGGATTATTAACGCTAACAGTGAAGTAACCAAGAGGATGATGGCGAGAACAGCACTTGATTGCGAGGGCCTGTACTTACAGCATATAAGCAATGACACCTATACTCCACACATCACACTGTTGGCTGTACCCTTGATTGTCTATAACTTCTGGAGCTATACACGGAAAAGAGAACCAGATTTTGGGTAAATTAATGTTATCAGTCAGAAGGAGATTCCTTGTCCTTGTGACAAATTTTCAGTTTTTGAAAGAGAATATTAATGAAGGTACTTCCCACTACTGCAATTTGACATGAGCCCACCAGAAAATGTGAGGTGTCACGAAGCTCACCCACAGCATGTACACAGAAAACAAGAATAAAGACCACATTTTACACCTTCAGGCTGCAATCTTTAGCAAAGGTTTACTAGACAACACAGCCCACAAAAACTCAATTGCTGAAAGTAAAGCATGATTGAATTTCTGACCATTATGAGATATTTATACCTGGGGTACAGACTTAATGACCTGATCGAGGGCCAGTTTGTTTCACAAGAATCTGGATCTCAATCAGTGATCCCAACGCTGGTTCGCTACATCCTTTAGGCTGGTTCTATTGTCAGTGAACCAACGCAGGATTACCGATCGAGAGATTCTGATCCGTGTGTGACAAAGAGGCCCTCAGTGAGGGCTGGCAAAGGCCTCACAGTTGCTCAAATTTCATTGGTGGGTACGGCATGACTATTTTTTCCCTTTTGAATGTCTTAACTGGCTGGGCTGAGAGGTATATTTCGAGTGCAGCTGTGGCAGACAGAAAACCTAGGGTTATATGTGTCCCTATCAAAATTAGGTACAGCCACAACGAAACTGTCCCTGTCAATAATTATCCTTCAATACGTGCTAGTCCACACAACTACGGTACCAATCAGCATGTAATGGAGGGAGTAGACGAGACAGCGTTACAATGGAAATTCAGAATGTGACTCCAGATCCTCCATCTTACCCATGTACATTGGTGTGCCACACATGGTCTGCATCATGGAATCACTGCCGGCCCTTCCTTTGAGTATTGACAAGCCAAAATCTGACAGCTGCAAGCAACAACAAAAGATACAGGTAGAAATTTATGAACAAGTTGCTTTTTTCAAATCAATTTTGATACTTAAAAACACAAAGGCACCCATAGATTCCAAGGGTAAGCCCCTGTATCTCAAAACAGTGAGTGGATAAATCCCTGTTATTTGATTGGTGGATTGCTGATCACGTCACTGAATTATTCATCCCATCACATGGCACGGCCACCCTGCAAGAACAGTGGATTCATTCTGCCTCAGATTTTAAGTTCCGTTGGTGGTAG